CAGAAAGAAGGTTGTGACAAAGCAGGCTAACAGTGATGATGAAGAGGAATTCAATGCAATAAAAGTAACCCAGGATTTCCTTACTAGATGTAGTACTTAAAAATTCCTATTTCAAGCATTTCGTCAACTCCCAATAATCACAGTGGGTAGATTATCCACACTGTGGGCTAGGCCTGGACAGTTGTTTACTCTCAGACTGGATTTTCCTTTTGTTTTATTTTCTTTTTTTTATTATTATGCTTTAAGTTCTAGGGTACATGTGCACAATGTGCAGGTTTGTTACATAGGTATACATGTGCCATGTTGGTGTGCTGCACCCGTTAACTCATCGTTTACATTAGGTATATCTCCTAATGCTATCCCTCCCCGCTCCCCCTACCCCATGATAGGCCCCAGCATGTGATGTTCCCCACTCTGTGTCCAAGTGTTCCTCTTGTTCAATTCCCACCTATGAGTGAGAACATGCGGTGTTTGGTTTTCTGTCCTTGCAATAGTTTGCTCAGAATGATGGTTTCTGGCTTCATCCATGTACCTACAAAGGACATGAACTCATCCTTTTTTATGGCTGCATAGCATTCCATGGTGTATATGTGCCACATTTTCTTAAACCAGTCTATCACTGATGGACATTTGGGTTGGTTCCAAGTCTTTGCTGTTGTGAATAGTGCCGCAGTAAACATCCAACATATAAAGACACATACATGTGTCTTCATAGCAGCATGATTTATAATTCAGGCTGGATTTTCTATCCTGTCTCTATCCTGTCTCTCAATTTCTAGGGACATTCATCAGCTGATTATATCTGAGTATTTTCTTTCCACTCCTTTCACATACAAGTAACTGTAAGCAGATAGCAGACCAGGACAAAAAAAGGATAGATAAGTGTAGGTGGATGACAGTAAAGATAACATGAGACCTCATGATGATAGGAATCATCCAGAACTTGTCTCATAGTAGACACTCAGTAAATATTTGTTGAACTGAGTGGATGGAGGTATTGAAAAGTTGAATTAGAAGACTTTTAAGGTTTCTTCCCAACCTATTACCTATGACTCCTCAGAATAAGATGATGGAAAACCTGAGTGACCTAGGAGATAGATGCCCAAACTCATCAGGAGCAAGACAGAGAAGTTAAAATGAAGGGACTCATCTCAGGCCAAGATGGATGCTGAATGAATAAGTCAGGACTAATCCAAGCTGTTACACCCCAACAGGATCCTTGGGTAATGCCCCAAAATTTCCACCCAGAGTCCAAGGGGACTAAAAAGAAGTTCTCTTAGGATTTAAGGTATAGACAAAATGTTAAGTGAAATCCCAGACCTTAACTTACTTAGGAAGTCTGAGAGTACTTAGATGCATATTGGTGGGGGTGGTAAGACTCTGTTCTGAGGCCCTGGATTTTATGACATATTTTTTTTTTCCAATATCACAGAAACCTAGAATTCAGGGCAGGAAAGATTCTTAGAAGTCATCTAAGCCCACCTCCAACCCAGTAGAGGAACTTTTTCTACAGCATCCCCAACAGAGGGTCATCTGGTCTTCAGCGACAGGAAGTTTGCTTTCTCCAGAGGCAGCAGCATTATTGCTAGACAGCTTCCATGTGGGCAGGTTCTTTCCCCTGATTCTAATGTCGACCCATTAATGCAACAGAGGCCATGCCTGTTCCCTCACTTCTGGGGCAGCTCTCCTGAAGTTAGGAATTGCGTGTTTTTTTTTTTCCTTCATCTTCATGCCTGCCAGCAAACATCCCTCATTCCTTCAACTGTGGAGACATGGATTGTGGGTGCCTTAATGTGCTGCTTCCTTGACAGTACTCTAACTGATCTATGTAGTTCTTAAAATGAAGCTGGCCAGATGAATGTTACAGAGTTGAATGCAGTGGTTCAGATATGACCTGGCCTACAGAGAGGAGAGTGGGACTATTTCTTCCTACTCATTTCTAAATTATCAACACTATCCGCTTAATCATCTATTCTAAAATGATCCCCTAAATGGTCATTAAGTTTGCTGGTTCCTTAAATTCCAGGACCCTCTTTCACCACTCACTTGTCCTTTGTTTGTTTTCTGTTGGCTGGTTCATCTCCTATGCTACCAATGCACTCCCATCTTGGGCTGCCTTTTACTATTACTGGTTTGGCACTGGGTAGGGAAATACCCAGGTTTCCCTTAAATTTCTCAAAATGTGTGTTCCTGCTCACCGCAAATCCTCAATCTACCTGGCATAGAGAAGCTCTAAATACTTGTTGACTACATAATGAATAAATGCATGAATAAATAAGTAGCAAATGTTCGTCGGGAGTGGTAGCTCATGCCTGTAATCCCAGCACTTTGGGAGGCTGAGGTGGGTGGATCACTTGAGGTCAGGAGTTTGAGGCTAGCCTGACCAACACGGTGAAACCTTGTCTCTACTGAAAATACAAAAATTAGCCAGTTGTGGTGGCGGGCACCTGTAATCCCAGATACTTGGCAGGCCAAGGCACTAGAATCACTTAAACCTGGGAGGCAGAGGTTGCAGTGAGCCAAGATTGCACCACTGTACTCCAGCCTAGGTGATAGAGTGAGACTCAGTCTCAAAAAAAAAAAAAAAAAAAAAGCATCAAATGATCAAATGTCACCTACAGGCTTGATGACACCAGCATGTAACAATCCACTTCTAACAAGAGCCTGTCTTTTTAGCATCCTGAATCTGACCCAGATAAATAATTTCTTCTCACCAGTATCATCTACTGAGTCTAACAGTTAATTTTCATTGTTCTCTTTCTCTTCCAAAGCCATGGCTCCACGGAAGAAAGTGGCAAATATAATCTGACCTGCTAAGTTATTCGGTTTTCCTACCCCAAACTTCACTGTCTTTAGAACAATCCTGTTCCATCCAACAGCCCTTATGAGTGACATGTGGCCAACAGAATCAGGAAGTGACTGGTGGGCATGACTAGGTGAACTCTGTGGCCTGCCGGGCGCTTATACTCTTCATGAATGCAGGTCCCTCAGGAGGCAGAGCAGCAGGCATCACAGAACAGTTCTTCCCACTGGCAATAGGACTCTTGCCTACCCTGTGAAGAGCCTTTCGATTCTCAGGAGCTCAGACTGCAATGATGTGACCACCCTCTGAGAAGCAGAGAGCCTGCATCTTGTGTGTTCCTTCAGTGATAATGTATTATTCCACCTTTTTCACGGCCTTCCTCTCAGCCCCTCTTGGGTTTTGTTCCCCTTCACCCCAGTGGAAATCTTTTCTTTTTAAATTACTTCCAGTCTGTTTTGTCCCACTCTTTGCTTAACAAGTCAGAATAAAGAAAAGTATTCTTCCAACTCTTTCCCTCTTTATTCTAAAGAAAAGATGAGCATGAATTAGTTGCAGCTATGTGATGAACATGCAGGAAAGAAAAATGTACCCTTTATATCTTCTGGGATCCCAATTTCTTCTGTCTTTAAAAGAACTGAGAGTTCATCACGGGTCCCTGTGAAAACTTCTATTGTAAATTGCTTCAGAAAATTCCCGGTTTTATGCCTGTTAGTCACATACTTAGAAAAAGTGCTTTAAAAAACTGCTTAGCTAAATTGCTAAATTACCTATATCAATCATGAGTTATTTAGTCTACCTCCTTGCTTCTGAGACAGATAAGAGTATTTCTTCTTTACAATGACCCCCAGAAAAAAAATCTTTCATCCTTACATTCATTGTCTCATGCACTCAGAGTTTATAAGATCTTCTTCAGATATGACCCAAATCCCTTTTACTGGAACTTAAGACCTTTCATCTTTTTTCTGTTCCCAGTGGATATCATAAAGAAAAAAAAAAAGACACTATTCAGCATCTATTTGTTCACAGTCTTCTGTCTGAAGTTCTTCAGGGCTCACCATTCCATTCAATATCCTTCCAAGTAGGGGATGACTGTTCTTAAAATCCCCTTTACTACCTGCCCATCACCTCCCAAGCATCCCTTTACATTCATCTCTTCTTTAGCTCTCTGAGATGCAGTACTTGCCTCACTCGACATCTGCTTCAAGAACTTAATAACACATTCAAAAATTATCCCAGGTCTTCCAGCAAAGGCAGGATCTATAGCTCCTCCCTGTAATTCACTAATTCTTCTATAAAATGCACAGAGACAAGATGAAGGTTTTGAAAGTCCAAGGAACCATTTCTTATTTGCCACAACAAACATTTCACAGGTTTTGGCCCCACTAAGAGAGAGTCAGCAGTGCTGTCGCTGCTCAAGAACAAAGATGGCGAGAGAGCACGGGGGCTGGCCTCAGGAGGGTTGAGTTCTAGGCCAAGCTCTCCCACTGAGCCTTGTGAGCCACACACAACCTCTGCCAGCCCCTTTCCCTAAGCAGGACATGACATGTATCTGCCTAGATTGCTCCTCAGGGCTCTCCCAACTCTCACATCTTGTGGTTCTCTGATCAAGTGAAGGTCTCGTCTCTCCCTTCTCAAAATACATAAACTATGTCCTTGGCATGTCTCCCACACCCACCTTGTGGCCAGTGCTATCTAGACCAGTGTTTCTCACACTTTTTAAAATGATCATCCTAGGACCTGAAGAAGCCTTTTTAGATCTTTTTTCCCTAATCACCCTACCCAGTGAAAATTTAATACCACACATATACTGTACATTGGTAGAGTATATATACCTGTGTTTAATACATGGAAATAAATATTTTGCTATCCCTAACAACCAATTTTCACTCTCTTTGGGGGCAGTATCACTCCCACTGAAAATGCATGACCTAAATCAAGTTGAGTGCCTCCTCTAGCTGAGTGATACAGAATTGAGTGTCCAGAGTTGCCACTTCCAGCTCCCACCCCATTCACATGAATCCCAGCAGTAACAATGGGAATGAGGCAGACAAAGGACAATGGTGTTCCAGGAACAGTTAGAATCCACTGGAAGGGCAGAAACCACTAGGGTCCCTGGCAGAGATGGAGGCTCCTTCTAAAACTGGCATCAGCCCAGCTTCCCTCCCGCTCCCCTACAGGCCATTCCCCTTCCCCTTACCTTGGCACACTGGCCAAATACGTCACTAGTTTCCGCAGGTCTTCCTGTCTTATTCTGTCATGATTGCTGCGAGCAGGGAAGGTCAGGATGGGTCCGCCTCGCTTATCACGACCCCCTGCAAGGAGGAGGAAGGGAAGAGTATTTAAGAAAACCAGTCAGAAAGGAAAGCCACAGAGGAAAAAGAAATCTGTCTGAGTGCTGGGTGATCAGACAGAAATAGGGGATCCAGAGAAATCTGGTCACTGTTCAGGACAAGGCCAGGGGGTCGAGATGCAGGTAGCATGTATGACTGTGGGCAAGTCTTTTGGCTTCCCTGGTGCCTCATCTGTAGAAGGCAGATGAAAACAGTACTGTGCACATTACAGGGTTGTTGCAAGAACTGATGAGTTGGCACATGGGGATGTACTTGGAAAAGTAAAGCTCTCTACAAATGTGAGATGATAATGAAGTGGTGATAACTGTTCTTACTGAGAAAAGAAGCTGGTGGAAAGTGCTATGTTCTTTGGAAATTTAACCTCTAATTTACTTCTCTTTATAGACCTCTGTGAGGTGGGAGTGCTTGTCATTAGCTGACTACTACGGTAAACAGACCTCAAAGCATCCATCCCAGGATAGCATTACTGGAAGGTTCTTAGATTCATAGAAAAAACATTAAGTATTTTCTACACAGCCAAAAAACCACCCCTGCCTGTCTGCCTGAGGTGCCACCTGTCACTCCTGCTAGAGGAGCACATGAATCTTATCAGAAATCAGAATGCTCAAGGTCTTAATCACTGCAAATGTATATGTACCTACTAAGATTACAAGTGTTTTCTAAACATCACATTTAAAATAACTGGAAGGAGTATACCAAAATGACAATTGGTATTGCTATTAGAAGGCCAGGATTTTGGATCATTGCTTTTTTGTTCCTCTACTTTCCAAATACCCTATTCACTATTTATTATATGATTTTAAAATGTATTCATTAATGGACACTATGATTAGGAAGTGGAACCAAGTTTCTCAGGGGCGTTAGATAGGAAAAAAGCTAAGGGTAACTATGACCTTACAGGGCACTGGTCATTACACAAAAAAAGCCACTGTGTCATGATCACAGACTCCTCACGCCACATCTCAGGTGGCCACAAGATAGACCCCAGAGTAGGACCACAAAGGGATCTAATGAAAGAGAGTGGAGAGGTGCAAACCTCACCAATACTGGAAAACAGGATGTCTTACACAGAGGGCAGAGTCTCCCAGGGATCCCGCCCAAGTGTGAGTTCATGAATAAGGTCTCCTTCTGGTTAAGGAGTCCAGAAGGCACACAGATAGAGGGGACGCTTGACAAAAAATCAATCCAGAATACCCTTGAGGAGGAAGTAAGGAGGCTGCAGAGAGAAAAGGATTACGCAAGATCAAGGCCACTGTGAGATCCAGCCCTGATGAAAAAGTGTTTCTGCACCACCACCAGTGCCCAGCACCCCAACTCAGGGAAGATTCATACAGATTAACTCAAAGTTGGACATTTCATACTAGCCCTGGTTCTTTGAAGTGATAACCACCCTTGTCTCATCTGCCTTGGAAATGGTCCCCATCTCTCCATTGCCTTCCACATGAGGAAAAGGAAGCGAAAAAATTAAATAGAAGGTTTTCCAAAAGCTGGGAGGTACTCCAACACTCTCAACCTTCTCCTCTATCCTTGACCTCACCCCAAGCATTTTCACTCTGGCAGTTTGTTTGTTTGCTTGTTTTACCATAGCTGTTGGTTTCTTCCTGACCTTCCTTGGGCATTTTACAAGTAGAGTCTTGGAACCATAAGGGACCACAGCTCTGACTGGCAAAGGGTGGCTTGGAGGGCTGGCTGATACTGTCCCTCCCAAACTGGAGCCAGGGCTGGCCTTGGAGACATGAGATTCAGGATCATGGCTGGGGAGGTTTTTAGATAGCTGGAAGATAGTCACTTTTTCTTTCCTCCACTTTCCAAACTTCCTATTCACTATTTACTATATGATTTCAAAGCGCATTCACTAATGGACACTATGCTTAGGAAACAGAACCAAGTTTCTGCTTTTTTTTTCCTGTCTGACACTCCTGAGAAACTTGGTTCCACTTCCTAAGCATAGTGTCCATTAATGAATAAGCTTTAAAATCGTATCATAAATAGTGAATAGGAAGATTGGAGGATTCAGATGGCAAAGAAGGAGGGGTGAGAAGAGAAAGCCTGGGGAATTCTAATTCCCCACATCCAGAAGTGTAGATCAGGAGTCAAGAGGAGGCAGCAGGATCAAGCCATGTGGTGTTCAGAAAGAAAGAGACCTTTGAAGATTATAGAAAAAAAGGAGAGGAATGAGCCTAGAGGAAGAGAATCTTTATGCTGGGAAGGGTAGGGACAACAATGGAGCAAGGCCCCAGGGAAGGCACAAGGGGAGGGTCCAGTCCACAGCAGACAGGGCAGTCCCCCTCTTTGAGGCAGGCTGTTGAACTCTGAGAGAGGAGGAAATGGAGATAGGTGGTGGAGAGGGAGGAGTTCAGCCTGCGCGAGGGACACGGTTCTTTGGTGGAGAGGGAGGAGTTCAGCCTGCCCGGAGACCACGGCTCTTTGGTGGAGAGGGAGGAGTTCAGCCTGCCCGGGGACACGATTTCTTTGGTGGAGAGGAGGGTTCAAGCCTGCCCGAGGACCACGATTCTTTGGTGGAGAGGGAGGAGTTCCGCCTGCAGGACCCACGGTTCTTTACTGAGGTGGGGAAGGGAGGAGTTCAGCCTGCCCAAGGGACACGGTTCTTTGGTGGCAAAGGGAGGAGTTCAGCTGCGCGAGGACATGGTTCTTTGGTGGAGAGGAGGGGAGTTCAGCCTGCCCGGGGACATAGTTCTTTGGAGGGAGGAAATGGAATGGGGTGGTAGAGAGGAGGAGTTCAGTCTGCCTGAGGGACATGGTTCTTTGGAGAAATGGAGATAGGTGGTGAGGAGGAGGAGTTCAGTCTGCCTGAGGACATGGTTCTTTGGGTGGAGACGGTGAACTGAAAGGTCAGTCAGGGTCAAGGGTAGGCTTTGGGTGGGGGAGAGGAAATGGAAACCATGGTAGAGAGGGAGGAGTTCAGTCTGCCTGAGGGACATGGTTCTTTGGGTAGAACGGTAGACAAGAATCAGTCCAGGGTCAGGGTAGGCTTTGGGTACTGAGGAGAGGGAAATGAAACCATCACTGGAGATCTTCTCTCAAGAATGACAGTAGGACTGGGTAGGACATGAGCTTCAGGGTTGCTGACAGGGTACTAGGGCACAGCAAAAGCTCTGTTGAAAGCTTTGGCTACAGTATCTGTGCCAGGCTCCAAGCTGAGTGAAGGCAGAATGGAGCTAATGCACCATATAAATGGGGTATGCCCAGCGAGGGTAGGAGATGTCCTGTTGGATGATGACATCCCAGAAAAGAGGGAAAGGTGTTGATTTTGTTCCTCTCATATCCATCCTCTCCCAAATGACAAGAGGATATCAGAAAGGGTCAAAATAAGGAACTAAAACCATAGATAGACATATCAAGGGTCAAGATCTTGGACGTGCATAATCACGGTAGGTAGGTGGAGGACTTTGGTACCAACGAGGCTGAGCAGCAATGAAGCTCTAGGATTTGATCAATAATTGACATAGATGCTGAAATTACAGAGGACAATAAGCAGAAATGAAGTATAAGGACCCCCGATAAAGTCAATATAACAATAGACCTGCAAGATGTTAATGAATACACATCACAGACACATAAATTTTTAGGGAATGAGGTTATTCTATGGTTTGGAAAATGCCAGATTAAAAAAAAAAAAAAAAAAAAAAAAAAAGTTCTTTACTGCAGGACTTTCCAGAGCCTTAAAATGTTAATGTACTTTAGTGGACATTGTAATTCTCCAAGAAGGAGAGCTACGATGTCCAGCATTTCCCAAACTTCTTTGAGAATAGAACCCCATTTTCTTTGTAGAGGATCATCCTGTGGAACTGTTCTTGGAAAACACTTTGAGAGATGCAGGTCCAGGGTACAAAAGATTGTGCCACAGCAACATAAGGTTTCCCTGGGAACGGTGGAAACCAATGAGGACAACCACATTGGTGGGAGATAAGGAGGCAGAGAGGAATCATGAGGAGGTGGCCAAAAGGTGGGCGTGTATGCACATGAAGACAATAGGGTGAAATAGACCCTACATGGTAAGGCTGGATAAAAGGGACAGTGGGTGCTGTGACTTGTAAGTAGTACAAAGGATGTCAGAGAGGGCCAAGGGGAACTTGTGAGCTGTGAATGACAGAGCAGAATGGAGCAGTGCTGGAACAATGGAGGCTCACTGAGGGACAGCCCCAAATCCTGTCACACAGACATGCAAACGCCCAACATGCAGAAGCTTCTGGGCTGCCCTGGATTATTCCCAATGTACGTTCCCATGGCAGCATGGTTTTCTTTTCGCCTGGCCAAGGCTGGGTACTAGCAGGGGAGAGCAGGCTCAATTAACAAACAGCCTGTTTCTCTACTCACCACCTTCCTTGCAGTGCTTTCTTCTTCTCAGAAAGAAATCCAACTGTTAAACTGCATTATTTAATTATAGGTTTCTTTATTTTGTTTTATTTTTGTGTTTTATCTTTTATGTTTTAAAAGCTCAGGATGTAAGAGTTGATTGGTTTGGGTTTTTTTTTTTTTTTTTTTGGTTTTGGGGTTTGTTTTTGTTTTTTTAGATGCAGCCAGTCATTATCTTCCCAGTATATTCAGTGTCCTTCCCAGACACGGAAGGGCAATGTTCCCTAAGCCCAGAAGTTTCTGGCACCACAAGCGCAGGTGCAGTTGAATAAGGCTGAACCCAGGCTGTTCGGCTTACATTGGCAAATGGGGGAGAGCTATGCTCCCAGCCCCCTTCGTCCTGCTCAGGGAATTTTCTACCTGCCTCATTCCTGACTGCCTTCCTGGCCACATTGCTTCTATGAGCTCCATTAGGACTAGCCCCTACCACCTGAGAAGGTTTTTTTCTGGGGCTCCGCCCAGGGCTCTGACTGAATTTACTTGGGAAAAAATAAACCATGAACATCAAGCAAGGGTCTCCACGTTAGAGTGTACTGTGCATGCATATGCCCCAAACTGATGTGGAATAGGATGATGCTCAGAGGAATACATTAGATCCAGGAAGGTCTCCTGGAGGAGGCAAAGTAGGAACTGACTCTGGAAGGAGAGGAGAGGCTCAAACTGGCAGAAGGTATGGAGAAGGCACTGCAGAGGGAAAGAAGTGTCAGGCACAAGAGAAATGGAAGGATTGGCAGGATATCCAGGGGACAGGAAGAACATCAGGTTAACTAAGGACTATAAAAAGAAGGAAGAAAAGATAAGATTGGGCTCCCAGAGGGCTGTGGACCACATCCTTGGGAGCCCAGGCTATGGGGATCAGCAGAAATCAGAGGCCTGGCACTGCTCAATGGCCTCTAGGATTTCTGCACAAGGTCTTCCCATATGCTTAGCAAGCAAATGGAATCCAAGTTTCTAAAAGTTTTAAAGGTTGCTCACCTATGCCTCTCCCCGTACCCAAATCACTGCTGCATAATCCTGCCAAGGAGTTGTTCTGCCTGTACTTCAACATCTTCAGTGGCAGGGGACTGCCAGGTCACTCTCGTCTAACAGCAATGACAATAATAAATTACTATTGCTACTACTGCTAACAATAATTACAATAATATAGAATGCACTTAGTCATTATAAAGTCTTCTGCACACTCCCATTGCATGCCTGCCCTCACCTCCCACACCTACACTCTGAATCATCAGGCTCTCGCCCTTTCTCCAATGAGGTGGGAGACAACTGCTGCTTAACTTCCCCTTTCCTTTATCCCCTTCCCACTTCCTCTTCTCTCTGTTTTGTCTGTCGCCCAACAGCCAAACCAACAGTGCCTGTGGCATGAACCTCTGCTCTACAGGACTGGAATAGCTCTTGCTCTGTGACTGCACTGCTACTTCTTGTAGATCACCAAAATCACCCAGAAATAAAGCTTTGGTCCATGAGGTATAAGCACATGGCATGTTTCTCAAAATAACATGGCATGTTTCTCTTCGGCTACTAACATTGTCTACCCCAGCCCCTGCCTCAGACCCTACCAGAAATTCTGATCCAGGAGGCCTAGAGTGGAGCCCTGGAACAGGCACCCAGAGTGATTGTGGCATACCTTATTGTTTGAGAATGACTGCCTTAGGGGCTCTGGCCAGTCTTTGGCTTCAATTATATCAGGGGTCACCAGACTTTTTCTTGAAGGGTCAGATATGAAATATTTCAGGCTAATGGGCCAAATGGTCTCTGCAATAGCTACTCAACTCTGTTGTTGTAATGAGAAGGCAGCCATTAACACTATCTGTAGTAGGTTGAATAATAGTCCACAAATATATCATGGCAAAGACTTTGCAAATATGATTAAATTAACCATCTTGAGATAGGGCGATTATTCTAGATTATCTACGTGGACCCTAAATGTAGTCACAGGTATCCTTAAAAGAGAGAGGCAGAGAAAGATTTGACACAGATGCAAGAGGAGAAGGCAATTTGACCCTGGAGTTAGAGATGGGAATGATGCAGCCACAAGCCAAGGAATGTCAGCAGCCATTGGAAGCTGGGAGTAGAAAGGAACCAATTTTCTCTTAGAACCTCTGGAAGCACAGCCCTGCTGACCCCTAGATTTCAGCCCCATGAAACTGATTTCTGGCTTCCAGAACTGTGCAATAATAAGTTTCTGTTGTTCTAAGCCACCAAGCTTATGGAAATTTGTTGCACCATCAATGGAAAACTAATACACTCCATAAACAAATATACATTGCTGTGTACCAATAAAACTTTATTTATAAAAACTGGTGGATGGCCCACCAGCTACAGATTGCTGACCCCAGAGTGAGACATTAAGAGGTCTTTGTGCACAAGATGTATAGGAGAGAGAAGTCATATAAATATTTGGAAGTCATTATTCAGAAAAAAACAAAAACTAAACATATAAACACGAACCCTCACTTGAGTTCCCTTTGCCAGGAAAGAAAGAAAAGGAGGAAACAAAAACTCCTTTAAAAATCTCCTGTCCCTGATCCATGCAGAAAGGAACTGAAATAAAACCTCAGGGAATGTGCCAAGTGCCCAGATTCTCCAGTTGAAGCAACTCTCACAGGGCCAGGCCAGGGGACTGAGGTTGGATGGGAAGCTCGGGGAATGTCCCTTTGGTTCTGGGTGTCCTTTAGAACGCCCAGCTGGGGCCAGAGCCCTCCTTTCTCTCTCCATCTGCCTCAGCAGAAAGGAAGCAGCTGCCCCAAGCATAACTTCCCCTCCCCTACTTCTCCCCCACTAACACATAAGTGAATCTGAACATATGTGCGCATATGTTCAGACCTAGAAAGGACTTCTTCTCTAGGTCCTTTACAAAGGAAAGTCCCACAAATACTCACCAGACACGAAGGCCACTTTTTCCTTTAGGATAGGAAGGACATCAGAAGCTTTCAAACCATCATTCCGAAAAGACCCTGTGGGAAAACAAACCAGAAGGAATCAGGGTGAGAGGAGCCAGCTGGCTGAATCGCAGGGTCCCATCCTCAGTCTCCCAATCCCATCATCAGTCGGCAAGTCCTGCCTTGTCCAGGTCCTACAGCCCAGCCCGATGGACAAGGAGAGGGTCTGCAACAGAACGGATACTTCCACATGATGCCAGCTACAGGGGTGACCAGGGCTGCAACCCCCCCCCCCCGTCCTTCTCAAGCAGAGGACAATCCAAATCACCCTCCTCATGTGGACAAACCTCCATGCCCTGGGGGCAAAAAAAAAAAAAAAAAAAAAAACCAGCCCTGTTGCTGTTGAGCAACTTGAAGATGGAGGACTTTTACAAAATCACGTTTGTACCTCTAGTGCCTAGCACAGTGTCTTGAACATACTCAGCACCCAGGAAATATCTGTTGAATTAGTTAACTGATATCAAGATGGATTACAAAGTCCTAAATAAAGATTTACAAAGTCCTTTTTGCCTTTCCTCTGGCACAACTATTAGTCTTTATTTTACAAACAAGGAAAGTAAACCACAAAACTCCTACAGAAGGAAGCAAAGTTGATGACAATATTCCTCTCCCCACTTCTTCCTCCTCCCCTCAATGTCACCATCATCAGTCCACGATAGACAGGAGATGGGGAAACACAAATCTCCTGGGAAGGAAATGCACTACCTTGTTTAACTTGTTCTCTTTCTAACTCTTGCTTCTCATTTAGAAAGTCCTTTTATGTTCCAGTTGAGTTCCTGTTTGGGGGCTGGAGGCAGAAGCTTGGGGCTCCCAAAGAATGGAAACTAAAGATGTGCCTGGAGGAACAGTAGCCTCAGGAGGCAAAGGACAATCCAGCCCAGTGTGGGATGTGTGGGAAGTCAGGACCCAGCTTCCACATCCACAAACCCCAGGCTAGCCCACTGCACCCCTATCATTTAACCTAAGAACCCCACAGGGACTCTCAGGGAGAGCCACCCACGCTTACAGCAATTCGAGCTCTAACTGAGGTCTCTGTTATGTGTCACCATTAGGGATATGACACAGATAGACCCCAGAAGGTGAGCGGTTGTATGTCAGCTCAGGGAGCAGAACCAGATACCATGGATGCCCCCTCGGGTGCCTTTCTCCACTTGGCTTATACTCTTGGGGTCCAAATTTGACAATTTACAGAGGAAAGTAACATGCTGGGCAGGACAATCCCACTCAATCCTTCCATCTCTAAACATTGACTGTTTCAAGAAACCTACCTGGGAATTTTGGCAATAAAATTCCAAGCCAGGTGTAAGATCACTGGCCTAGGGAAGTGAAGTGGGCCAACAGCACACTCAATCAAGGAGGAAGAGATGTCCTCAGAATGCCAGTGTCTATGATCAGAGGTCATACCCTAAACCTAAAGCAAATTTCCTAAGTGTCTCTGACCATTTTGCCTATTTTTTCTCTTTCATTTTGCACCAAATGAAGACTGCAAGTCTTTTATTCATCAGTTGTTTCTCTTTACTAGCTGACAGAGAACTAGCTACAAGGCTCACTTTGAGAAGACCTTGAGCAATAGGAAAACAAAGTAACACCATAAAAAAGAATACTTGAACTTCAAAGCCTATAAGCATTATTTTGAACTTTCTATCCTTAGTTGCTACAGATATTTATGCTCTAATTTTATCTTCGCCACAGAAAAACAATTAAATTTCACTAATAGAGGCTAATTAGGATCTATATAAATTATTATAGAATTTACAAACAGATATATAAAGTATTTTTTTATCCTTAAGCAACGAGGAGACATTTAGCTTCCTTGGCAATCTATTAGGCTTTATCTGTTAGACAAGGATCTTTAATACATGACTTGTTTGTGAAAAATGATGCTTCTATATCAAAATACATGATTTTCCTTTGTGAAATATATCTTTCTATACATTAATTTTAAAACACTTTCCTCTATGTAACCATGCACTCTACTAATTTCTATAGAAAAAAAATGTAATATAAAAGTTAAATTTCAGTCTTATCTTCTTTCAGATTATTTACAAGTTCAAAAATAGCAAGGCCCAAACTAATGAGATTTACTATAAAGAGTCCACATAACTCTCTTTTCTCCTAAACTCTTGTCCTATTTTTTTCTTCTGTCCTCCCTCTTGTCCCCTACTGTGTTGCAGTACACAAGAGGGTCCTAAATCTAAATAGCCCTAAGACCTTAAGAAAGGGTTTCAAATTTGCTATAATGGAAGCAAAAGGTTCCCCATCTTATCTCCTCTCTACTCCCACCCTTGGAGAGGAAGAGGAAGCTCCAAGTCTCATCCATCACACCCACTCATTGTGCCCCACCTCTTCCTTCTCCCCACCAGGGCCCAGGACCGGAGAGAAGGTGTGCAGCTTGTCCATGCAGCTTGCAGTCATGGGCTCCAGCAAATATCAGTGCCTTGGGTTGGGCTGTTCTAGGATTCCTAGGGCTTCTACTTCCCAGGCCAGGGTCCTCCCCGACCCTGTAGAGGCCACTGCTGCGCCTGGTTGTGTGTCCACCATAAGAAAACCTAAAGTGTCCAGATTTACAAAATCCAAACTAGGGGACAATCATTTCCAATTACAACTAAAATTTTCACATTATAAAAGGATTTGCTCCAGAGTCTCTTCAAATAAAAGTTCCCCTAGTGATTTGAATTAGTTTTTCATTTGCCAAAAATTAAATTACATATAACTTTTCAACAATATATGTATTATGTAAAGCCAAGTAGAGCTAATTAGCCCAGCAGCTCAGAAATTGGTGACCTTGCATATAAAACCTATTTGCACTGGCTAAAGATCCTACATAGCATATTAATTCCCCCAGGGCCCTTGTGAAACCAGCTGTTGGAATATATAATAAAAGAGAAGTTCATCGAATGCTAATTCAAACAGAACCAATGAAATAGCAACATGTTTTCACTATCAGGTACATGTCTTGGTAGACTCATGGCAAATGTTCAATAAATATTTGATGAAAGAATAAATGAATGAATGAAACGTTGACCCTTCCTAAAATGACTTACACAAGGTCAATGACTTCATCTGTCACACCAAGCACTGGCTATCTGATTAGATGCCCTCCAGGGTACTACTCAGCTCTAATACTCTGAGACTTTCTAAACCTTCTCTTCATATTTGTTGGCCTTTAAGATCCTCAGGTTATCAGATCAATACGCTTTAAAAGGAAGTACTGGGAATAAATTCCCTAACAAGATTCATTCCACCTTGGGAAGATAAAACATTTCACTGGCTTCCTGGCCAATTTTTCCCCCAGAATCAGTTTATAGATGTTCAGGGGCAGATCACCCCATTTTGCAGGTAGCCCAAAATGCCAAAATGGGAGAAGAGTGATGGAAGAATTTCCATAAGGCTTAACCTCTTGAAGGAAGTAAGCTTACATTATCATTGCCATTTCTGGTATAAAGTATATGTGATAGACCTATTAGAAAATAAACTCTAGATCAAGCTTGTGCAACCTGTGGTCCGCAGGCGTCATGCAGCCCAGGGCAGCTTTGAATGCAGTCCAACACAAATTTGTAAACTTTCTTAAAACATTAAGAGATTTTTTTGCAATTTTTTTTTTTTAGCTTTTCAGCTGTCATTAGTATTAGTGTATTTTCTGTGTGGTCCAAGACAATTCTTTTTCTTCCAATGTGGCCCAGGGAAGCCAAAAGACTGGACACTCCTGCTCTAGACCAATCACAGACCTGTTTCCATCTTTTTTAAAAAAAAGGCCAGTTGAAACAGGCTTGCTACCTCTAAAGAAGGCCTGAGAAGACATTTTAAAAACCCTAAGCCCTTGGAGTTGCTGCAGGAAAAAACAAAAAACAAAATCAAGGGTAGCACCTTCATGGACCTGACCCAAGACGGGTTGTGGGTCGTGGGTGTTGTGCTTCTTCTTAAGGACAAAGGCATGCTTCGCCGGCATTCAGTGCTAATCCCACCCCATTTGTGTCCTGCTGTTGTCAGAATTACAAGCCTGCTGTTCCGTTAATTAGCAAAGTTGAAATGCTCCACATCTATTAAGGAAGTACAAATTATCCCTGCCATCTCCCCAGGATCCTCCAGCATGGGTCTTCTCCAAGCCCCACTTTTGCTTCTCCTTGCTCCAAATGTGTTATGCTTACATTGCTTCTAGTCATCATTTCCCACGTTAGAAAATGCCAATCCTCCTCACTCTGGCTCCCAACCTCTGTGTGACCTTAATGGCAATGGTGAAACTGGCCCTTGAGCCACCAGCCCTGTCTGTGGTTTTGTGGGTGTAGAGTAGCAGTATATTCCCCAGGGCACCTGTGTTCCATACTAACCTCCTTCAGAAAGCAATCCTTATTTCAACAAGTGAAGAAGCAAACAACAGAGTGGGTGTTTACAGAGCATTTGGAGGTTCAAGCTGCCAGAGTATCCATGGATTGCTCTTTGTTTCCTTTTGGTTCTCAGACACACCCCTTTAATGTGCACCTATTTAGAAGTTACTACGTAAGTGTTCTAACGTTGCTTCAAGTGGGCCTGAGCCCTGTTTCTGCATACTTCCCTATACTCAGGTTTCTGCCTTCTCTTTCTGCTTCACCCTGTGGTGTCCAGCATGGGAGCCTTACTCAAAATGGCACTGAGTCACTGAACAAGAGGCTGCATAAAAGAGATCTGGCTTACAATTGAGAGGTGCAGGAGCTCATTTGGCTGGACCTTAGTTTGGTTGTAACTTTGAAATTTTCCTATTCCTAAGGTCATTGTTTCATTAATTCTGCATTGAGCACTATGTGCCAGGCCATATGTCAGGCTTTGGTGATAGTAAGACAAATAAGAAATGGATCCTGCTCTCCAGGGGCTTCCAAGCAGAGACAAACAGGTTTCCAAACAGGACAATTAAACTGTTATCAGAGACAGGATATCACCTGTACAAAATGCAAGGAGACTCAAAAAAAATTTTTTTTAAAAAAGGGCTTCTTAAAGATGAGTCCTAAAACCTTGCAACTCAAGGTAATAAGCATCACATA